ACGTTTCAGCTTTCACGTGGCACTGAGTCAGCTGTGGCCAGGACACAAAGTCACAAAGCTTTGAGATGCTTTTCTTCCTCTCTGTAATTCACTTTTCTGCAAGCTTGCCTGATGTTTTAAAAAAGGGCCCAGCAGCAGTGGTCATAATAATAACAGGAATCCTTGCCTCCCGGCAGTCTGCTTCCCGCCGTCACCTTCCAGGCGTGGGCCCGAGCGAGCACATTTATTTATTTATTTATTTATTTATTTAGTTATTTATTTGAGGAAGATTAGCCCTGCGCTAACATCCGCGCCCATCCTCCTCTATTTTATGCGTGGAACGCCTACCACAGCATGGTGTGCCAAGCTGTGCCATGTCCACATCCGGGATCCGAACCGGCGAACCCCAGGTCGCCGAGAAGCAGAACGTGCACACTTAACCGCTGCGCCACCAGGCCGGCCCCGAGCACACTTATTTTTTATGACCGGGCATCAACTGCGTAGGAAGGGGCTCTGATGACAGGCTGAGGACCAGGCACTGCTGTCCGGGGCTCTGCCGGGAGCTTTGTCTTATTTCATCCTCCTAACAGCCCTTTGAGGCAAAGGGTTATTTTCGTGTCTGTTTCTCAGGTGGAGTGAGCAGGCTCAGAGAGGTGGAGTAATTTGCACAAGGGCACAGAGCTTTGAAGTGGCAGAGGGAGGAATGGAACCCGGGTCGGCCTGATTCCGAGCCTGACACTCGTGTCCGTCCCCCTGTGTCATCTCAGTCCTGTGTTGTGGCTGAAGATCGTGTGCCCTGGGATCTGACCCACTGTGTGCCCTTGGGCCGCGTGTCCTCTCTTGGCCTCAGTTTTTCCACCTGTGGAGTGGGTAGAGCAGCCCCAACTCCTGGGTCTGCTCTTAGGATTGGGGGCCCCTTAGAATACCTGGCATATTGTGACTCTGCCCCTCCCCAGCTGGGCAGCCTCAGACAGGTGCCTAACCCTCTCTGAGCCTCAGTTTCCTCCTCTGTCAGTTGGAGACACCTACCCCTGCCTTACAGGGTTAAAGCGCCTGTGCAACACAGTAGGTGCTCAATTAACGCATCCTCTTCTTCCGCCTCGAGTGGACTCTGGTGCCAGGAGAGGACGTGGATCAGTCCACGTTGAGCGTGGGGCAGAGCCGCTTGGGAACAGGGCCCCCGGGCTCTGGCCCCACACCTGCCCTGCCCTCCCCACCGTCTCCATGAGGTCTGCCCTCCCCATGCCGGCACCCATGTTGTTTCCCAAATGAATAGAGTCAGTGTTCTCATTTTCCTCCCAGAGCCAGGCTGCAGGTCCAGGCGCGGAGGGAGGGGCGTGCCCCGGGCTGGGTGGCGGTAGAGACACAGGGGAGCCCACCCCGGCCCTGGAGGAGGGGCTGGTTCCATCCCCACCAGGCTGCCTGAGGCCCCCGTGGTGCATATAACCTGGGGAGAGGACGCCCAGGTGCCGGGTCCCTCGGCCACGCGTTCCATCGGAGAGCTGCTCCCAGCTGCAAACCACGGCTCCAGGACCCTTCGCTCTGCAAGACAAGATTCTCGGCCCACAACGCACCCTGTCCCCCCAGCTCTGTGCCCTTCTGCTCGGGGACCCTTCCTGCCTCCCCAGCACCCAGTTGGTCTCACTCATTCAGTTTGTTTCCTATATCGCTTCTTCCAGGAAGCCTCCGACCCCTGCCAGTCTCCCCACCCCCAGCACGCACTGTGCTGTATCCATTTGCACCTCTGTCCCCCTTGTTGGACTGGGAGCCCCTCGAGGAGAGGACCGTGCCTGATGCACTTTCCATGGAGGGCTGGGCAGGGACTTGGGCAGGAATTGGGAAAAGTGTCTCCGGAAGGCGGAACAGCCTGAGCAAAGGCGAGGCGCGTGGGATGCAGTGGTGAGTGGAGACCAGCATTTCCTTGACCACCACTGTGTACCCGGAACTGTGCCGGCTTCTTTGAAGCAAACACATGAACTCATTTAATCCTCGCAACGGCCCGAGGAGGAGGATGGGCTGTCATTTCCCTCCTACAGAAGCAGAAACGGAGCCTCGTGCAAGGGCAAGAGATCTGTGTAAAGTCACACTGAGAACGTCCGGTTCTGTCTGTGTCCGAACACAAACCTGGCCTCTGTGCCGCGTGGGACTCTCCTGGGCTTGCTAAACGCAGGCCGGTTTACTGTGAAAGAACATTTTGGATGTCGTTTTTCCCCTCAATTGCCAGCAGCCTTCGCTTGATCTTGAGCCTCTGATTGCAGCAGACAAACCCTGGGCATCTTGTGCGTTGACTTTTTTTCACCAATTTTTCCTTAAAATGAAGTGAGCCATACAGTAAAGCATATAAAGGGCACTAATGTGACGTGTACAACTCAGTGATCATTATATTCTTAAACACACCTGCACACGGCCCAGGTCAAGATCTAGAACATTCCTCATTCCCACAAAGGCTCCCTCAAGGCTCCTCCCCATGAAGGATTTCCCTCCCACCCTGGAGTCGTCACCCTAATTTCTATCACACGTGAGTTTGGCCTGCACTTGACCTTCACAGACATGGAACCACAGGATGTCGTCTCGGGTGCCCGGCTTCTCTGACTCACGTGGGGTCTGTGGGATTCATATACGTGATTGCACGTAGGGGGTGACGTGTTCCTTTTCCTCGCTGCGTAGTACTCCACCACTGTGCCCTGGCTAGACCACCCATCGTTTACCCGGTCTTCTGTTGATAAACATTTGGGCTATGAATTGACTTATTCCACTAACTTGACTGATTTCTATTTTTGTGATATTGGTGCAAGGAGTGGCTTTTATCAGGGCACTATGCAGAGGTCTTTGGCTCTCTAGAAGCTTACGGAACTGCGACCATTTCCTGCTGCTAATTGTCTTGGATCACAAACGTATATATTTGTTCCTCCGTGTCTTCCATTGCAACAGAGACTTGGCGGAGGGAGGGAGAGAAAAAGAAGCAAATATGCTCCAGCAGAAGTTTCTGGTTCTTCCCTTCACGTGAGCTAAGTGGCAGATGATGGAGCACGCCTGTAATTTAAAGTCAAATGCTCGTGGCTGACAGTGGGAGCCGTAATAAATGTGTTGCCACTGTCCTTTTCGTGTCCTTTCTCTGCTCCTTTGAAATCTCATAAATAACCAAGCGCGTGTTGGTGAGACGCCTGCCTCTCCTCCCCGGCTCCAGCGCAGCAGCTGCGGTTGCTAGGTTGAGCTCCTGGTTGCTAGGGATTCTGTGGTCCTGTGGTGGCCCAGAAATATGATGGATCCGTGGAACATGCTTTTGCTATTAGTCGAAATATTTCCACAGCGAATCTCTCAATGTCACTGCACGCTTTGATGGCATCCCAATTGCTGGATGATCCTTGCAGGTTTCTTTCCCAGTTAGAAGAAGTGGCTTGAATGGAGACACAAATGGCCTAGACGGGGAGTCAGAGAACTTGATTCTGGTCCTGTATCTGATATTAATTTGCTGTGTGACCTTGGGCAAGTGTCGTCCCTCTCTGGGCCTTGGACTCCACAACATTCAAGGACTTGCCAGCGTTAGTAGCCTCTAGTTCATCACTCAAGCTCTGTAGGCAGGCCAACTGCAAATCAGTTCCTCATTATCTGCTGGTGGATTGTAGACAAAAGAATTCTTGTCCCCGGCTCGCTTCCTTTCAACCCAGCAGGCTTCTGGGCTGAGAGTACTTGGCCAGATGGTGTGTGTGCAAGAGTTTCAGACTAATTTTAATATTCAATCAAACATAATTGGGATCATAAATCTGGAAAAGAAAAAAACAACACCCTACAACCCATAAACATCTGATCATGTCATTTTCTCTTTTCTCCTGCTTAAAAATCTTTGGCAGTTTCCCATGGCTGACTCCGGGGGTGGCAGACAGGTTCCATTTCGGTTGCTGAGGCAGATCAATTGGTGGCAGCTGCAGCTGATGATGTCCTGAAAAGAATCTGGACTTGCTGGTGTGCTGTGGGCTCTTGATCGATTATGATGTCTGCCACGGGTTGGACTCTGGACTCACGGTGTGGGATGTTGATCGATTAATGATGTCTGCCACAGGTTGGAATCTGGACTCACTGGTGTGCTGTGGGATCTTGATCAATTAATGATGTCTGTGATGGGTTAGACTCTGGACTCACTGGCATGCTATGGGATTTTGATTGATTAATGATGTCTGCCACTGATTAGAATCTGGACTCACTGACAGGTGGTGGGATCTTGATAGATTAGTGATGTCTGCCATGGGTCCAGGAATGTAGACAGGGGCACCTATTTGCCAATCATGGCTGGAGCTCAGAGCCCATGCCCTTTAAGATCATCTTGGAGGCCTTCACGGTTGGCCCCTGCCAGCTTCTTGTGCTCTATCTCCTCTCCTTCTCTGTCCACCCCACCTCCAGAAATACCTCCTTCTGTGTCCACATCCAGTTGGCCACCTGGTGTCTCCAAAGATCTCCTTTGTTTGTGTTGCGCCCTTTGTCAGGACCTTTATTACACTAAATCAGTCGGCTTTGCCTGTGTATCCTTCAATCACAGTTTTGTCTCGTCGTCTGTGATAGCTGTTTGACTCTCTCGGGTGAGGTTGGTTAGGCCGTTCCCGCGCCTGACATCCAGTAGTGCCCACTTATACCCGTAGCCTACCACTCTGCCTGTCTCGTGTTTGGTTACTCTCATGCCTCTTTCCATGTCTGCCTTGAGAGGCCCTCAGTGTCACGTTCTGGGTTCCACCCATCTTTGTGTTCCTGGAGCCCAGCAGGGTGCAGAGCCACAGTAAACCCACCGGGTGAACTCATGAATGAGGAAAAATCACACCACCTTCCCACGTCAGATAGAAATGGTTTTCATCACTCTCCCAGCAGCCTGAGTTCTGGGTGTCAGCACTCCTCAGCTTAATTGTGGGTAATTTACTGTGCTAACAAAGCAACCACACGTTCCCCAGAGACGGAGCCCTGCTTCGCGGGGTGAGTTTGCATTCTCTCCACCCTGATGGCCTCTCTCTCCTCCTCTCTCCCTTTGCTCTCAGCCTGAAGACAAGCAGAAGGCAGCGGCTGCCTTTGCCCAGCTCCAGGGCGCCATGGGGACGCTGGGCATCTCGGAGAGCGAGCAGCGAGCCGTTTGGCGGGTGTTGGCGGCCATCTACCACCTGGGCGCCGCGGGGGCCTGCAAAGGTAACGTCCTTCCTGCCGAGCTCACCTGGGCTGCCAGCTTTCTCCGTTGGCAGGTGCCCCACAAGACCCTTCTCTCAGTGAGGTGGGACAGGGCCAACCTGCCACCTTCCGTGTCTCGGGGGCGTCTCTCGGGGCGGCTGCTGAACCAGGCATGGTGAGAAGAAGCAGGGCTGGATGTTTCTAGCAAATCTTGTAGACTGGCGCCGCCCAACAGAACTTTCCACGATGATGGAGACGCTCTCGGTATCCACTGTCCAGTGCAGTAGCCACCAGCCGCATGTGGCTGTTGGGCATTTGACATGCAGCTAGTGTGACTGAGGAATTGAATTTTTAATTGTGTTACTTTTTAATTAGCATAAATTTAATTAGCCGTGTGTAGCTGTTGGCTACTGTACTGAGCAGAGAAGCCCTGAAACATGTGAGAGAGGTTGGGTCCAAGCAACAAAGGGGCTGTCTCTGTCTGGACATCTTGGAGATGCTCCCCACCACAGGTGCTGGAGCTGACCCATTATCCTCCTCCTCCCAGGTCTGCTCTCTCTCCTTATTTGTCTGTTTCTCCGGTGGTGCTGATCACCCCTCGGGCCCTCACCCCTCCCTATCTAATCATTCCCCTTGCCCTGTAGACACTCCCTGGGACAGCATTTCTGTCCTGGCTTCTCTATTCTTACTCTTTGTCTTTTTTTTTTTTTTTTTTGCTTGGACTGTTGCAGTAGCCTCTTTGCAGCTGCCTTCACTTCTCCTTATGTCTATCCTCAGTGTGACCACCGGGCTCCTTTCTAAAACATACACCTAGTGCCACTCCCCTGCTTAGAATCTTCCCGGGGCTCTCCCTTGCCTGCTAAATAATTTCTTGGCTTGGCATTCAAGGCTCCTCACCTCCCTAACCAGCCTCTTCTGCCCTCTCTTCTGGCACAGTAAAAGGTCCTGAGGGGACAGCAGGGATCAGGAGTAATGTGGTTCCTGCCTTGATGGGGCTTATGGGGCCTTGTATTGTGATTGAGTCCTTGTCTAGCTCTTTCCAGGAGGGAGTGGCTTCCTTTGGGCCCAGAACATAGAGTTCTGGAGTTGGAACTCACTTGTCGAATGAACATGTGTGAATTGAGGTCTGTCCTCTGGAATGATGTATTGACTCTGCCCATTCCCCTGTGGAGCAGCAGACGCTTCTGGAATATGCTGGCACATCATTCCTGCCATTCCCACAGTCGTGGGCCGTGTGGCCCATTGTTTTGAGTCTCATCCGTTCCAGCCACATGCATTGGCCGCTGATTTGATTTCGGAAATTTCTAGAAGTTTTGCTGAGTCGGACGTGAGTAAAATAGGTGTTCCACAGTTGGTACCAGCCAAGGACAGACATGCCTGACTACACAAATGTGCAAAAAACAGGTGCCACTTGCTTTTCTGAAACTCAGCCACGGGTCCTGCTCAGACCCTTGGGTGTCGGGATGTCACCACTGTTTTGTTCACGGGATGTAACATCTCTCGCTCAGCTTCCTGGTCACTGGGACCACCAGGGTCATGAACACCAGGGTGTGAGAACGCGGTCCTCTCACCAGCCTGGGGGGCGTTTCTCTTCCTGCAAAACTCTAGTCGCCAGTTAGAAACCCCCAGCTCTGCGTCTGGCTTCGTCTACACCAGGAGTCAGCAAATTGGGGCTTGTGGGCCCCATCCAGCCTGCTGCCTGCTTTTGTGCAGCCCGCAAACTAAGAATAGTTTTTCCATTTCAACTAGATGAAAATATGCATATATATGAATAATATTTTGGGACTTATGAAAATTATCTGGCGTTCAAATTATAGTGTCCATAATTCAAGTTTGCTTGGAACACAGCCACGCTCGTTCATTTACGCGTCTACGGCTGCGTTCCTGCTACAACGGCAGAGAGGAGTAGCTGAGACACGGATTGTACAGCCTGCCAAGATGAAAATAATTACGATATGGCTCCTCACAGAGAAAGTTGGCCGACCCTATTCCACACCATCCCCCTGGAAGGTCTCAGCCCTCGGGGGTCCCTGTGCCTCTGAATTAACTGTTCGGTTGTGATCTGAAGAAATTTCTCCATCCTCCTCGGCTCCAGCCAAACTAGAGAGAGGATGTCAGGAATCTGGCCCTGCCCCCAACTTGCTGTGTGACCTTGAGCAAGTCACCTGTCTCTCTGGTCTCAGTTTTCTCGGATGCGAAATTCTGGAATTGGGCCAGATTAGAGGTTCTTAATCTGGGGTCCGTGTACCCGGCCACCCATCCAAGTGTGGGTTTCAGGGCTTTGTTAGTTTCCTAAGGCTGTTATAACGAAGGACCACAAACTGGGGGCTTAAACAACAGGAATCTGTTTTCTGACAGCTCTGGAGGCTGGAAGCCAGGATCAAGGTGTCGCAGGGTGGGTTTCTCCTGAGGCCTCTCTCCTCGGCTTGCAGACGGCCACCTTCCTGCTGTGTCTTCCCATGATCACCCTCCATTTGTGTGTCGTCTGGCCTGATTTCCTCTTCTTATAAGAACACCAGTTACACGGGATTGGGGTCCACGCATATGACCTCATTTCACCTTAATTACCCCTTTAAAGGCTCAGTCAACAAATACAGTCACCGTGTGAGGGACCCGGGGCCGGTACTTCAATGTAGGAGTTTGGGGTGGGGCATAATTCAGCCGTAACACACCCCAGTCCCTGAGATGAGCCGGCACTGACTTTGTGCCCAGACCTGGCTGAGGGAGGGATCGGAGAGGCTGTGAAGACGGAGTCCTTTCTTGTGAGTTTGCCATTTTATTTGGAGAGAGGAAACTTCTGAACTTGACTCCGTCAGCCGATTTTGTAAACGGGCCGAGTTTGGGGTGCGATCGCTCGGTGCGGGCCGGGAAAGCTGTGGAGGTTCAGAGTCGGGGTGTGGACGCCTTCCAACTGGGGGTGTGAGGAAGGAAGCAAACCCATTTTACAGAATGGGAAACTGAGTCTCAGGAGGTCTAGGTGCATTAAGCCAGGGTTCAAACCCAAACTTCTCTGGGCTTCCGTGGCCTCCTCTTTCAATGCACTGAGGATGGGGTTGATGGGAGGAAAAACGGGATCAAGAAAACGCAGCTGAATTAGGCTGGGTTTCCCCGAAGACAAAGATTTGGGTGCATTTAGATTATTTGCACCCAAAGGGACCCCAGGAGGCGCTGGTGGGGAAGTGAGGCAGGGAGGGGAGGGAGGTGACAGGATATGTTGATGAGCGGGTTACCTCTGGGTGTTTGGGGCTCAGTCCCCCTGCAGACCTCAGGGAGCCTGAGGGACATGCCTCCTGGTTGAGTTACCCAGGAGGAGAGGAAGCCGGGGTGTTTATACACCGCCTCCTGCTTCCCCCTGCTTGACGGGGGCTCCTGGGTGGAGGGCGTTACCTCCTGCACCCTGAGCCTGCCCCGTGCGTGGGCTAAGCACGCTCCTGCAACCAGAGAAAGCAGAGAGGAACAGACAGGTACCCACAGTGACAGGCCAGGGACACGTATGGGGTGGCACGTGTCAGGTGGCCAGGGCGACGCAGGGTGGACGGGTCACCAAGAGCATCTAGCTCAAGGCGGTCCTCCTGGAGGAGGTGGCTCCATGACGGTGGTGTTGAGCCCGGAAGAAGGGACTCTCCCAAGGAGACACAGCCACTTGCCTCTCTGTCACACTCCACTCAGACAGGTTGCTCCCTCCTGGGGATCTGCAAAGCCTAGGGAGAGAGGAGCCTTGCAGATGGCTGCGGGCTGCCTTCTGATTTCCATGGTCACAAGTGAACCCTCGCTGCCTTTGATATGACAAGACAGAGGCCAGCGAAGCCCCCTGGCCTATTGACCTGTCCCCAGAGCAGTGTGCTTCCCGCCCCGCGTTCCTCCTCGTGGGGCACGTGGGGCGCCCCCTCTGATGTGGGCTCAGGAACCTGACCCGTACCTGTGGCCGCCTGTGATGCTAAAAGAGAAAGTCACATTTATAAATATTTTATTAATACATGATTATGGCAATAATTTCTCCCAGCCTCCCCCACCCCACCTTATAAATTATTTTAAGAGGAGCCACTGTCAGTCTGCCTGGGAGGCCTGCCCAATGATTTACTAACTGTATATAGTGGTTCGGAAGATTTCATAATAGGCAGCTCTAAAATCAGCGGTTAAGAATTTCAGAGTCGTATATAAATGTCTTTGCTTTGTGTCATAACAGATCATTTTGAAATATATTAAGAATCATTTCCATTAATCAGCTTTTTTTTTTTTCATTAAAATAATTCCCTCCCCCGGTGCGCCTGGCTTCCTTAGCTTATTTGAAAGCCCTGATTCTGATTTTCAAAACCGACATCACCCCGAGTGGGGAGATTTGGGGCCTTATAACTGGACTCGGGGTTTCTGAGCTCTGATAGCGAAAACAACCACCCCCGCTAATGTCGGTTTATTGTTTGGTGGTTTCAAAGCCCCAGGACCTCACTTCTGCCTTTGGGTCTTATTAGATTTCTGCAGTAACCTGGTGAGGAAGAAGAGCGCCTCGTGGGCAAGAATCAGGAGTCAGCTGCTGGGTGTGGATCCTGGCTTGGCTTCTCTGAGCCTCAGTTTCCTCCTCTATACCACGGGGCTCATGATGGTACCCACTGCGTAGGCTTGTTGTAAGGGTTAAATGCATCCATGCCAAAACGTGTGGCACACAGGACTTGGCCCATGATCGGGTGCTTCCTAAGTGTTGGCTTTCATCCATCTCCACTTGATAGATTAGAAAATGGAGGCTCAGAGAGGGTATGTGATTGGCCTGACATCACACAGCTCATATGTTTCAGAGTGAGCTTCGGAACCTTGGCTGGGCTCCCTGCAAAGATGGCTCTATTGCCCTAGACTTTGCACTGGGCTGTTAGGGTCCTTCTCTGCTGGAGAATTGGCTTGTTTTCCCGGGTGCCGTGCTGAGAGCTTACAGCCACGAGGACGTCACTGTACAGCCCTTGAACAGCCTGGGGAGGGTGAGAACTGTTAGGATGCCCATTATACAGATAATGAGGCTGCAGCTTCCCAGAGAGGTTGACCCATATCTCCCAGGGCACACAGCTAAAGCCACAGGTGGGATTTGGACTCAGGTCCACCGAGCTCTGAGCCCAAACTCTGGGGCCACACCTGCCGCCTCCTCAGCTCCATGGCTGCTGCTTCTGTCCCACAGGCTCCAAGAGGGCTGCTGATGTCACTCTTTCCCTGGGACCCCCCGAACCGTGTTTACTCACACTCCTGACACCAAATGTGGGGTTTTTTTTCCCCACACCCACCGATTCTCTGATTCTCCAGACACCCACAGGGGGTCCTACGATTCAGTCCCGTTCTGACACTACCTGGAGTTAGCACAGAGCCCCAGGCTCTGGGACGGTCCCCCAAAACTGCCTGACCTCAGACCCCAATCAGGTGTCTGGGCCACCTAGGCTTCTGACGGACTGGCTATTGAGTTGGGGTCCCCACACCCCCTTCCTTAGGTTCGATAATTTCCTGGAACAGCTCACAGACTGCAGGAAGGCACTTAGCTAGCTCTCACTGGTTATTATAAAAGATACGACTCAGGAACAGCCAAATGGAAAAGATCCACAGGGCGAGGTGTGTGGGGAGGCCGCGTCCTCTCTGGCAGGCCGTCCCCCCGGCCCTTCTCCGTGTCCACCAGTCCAGAAGCTCCCCAGACTCCGGCACTTAGGGATTTGTGAAGGCTTCATTCCACGGGCACGGCTGACTCGATCCTTGGCCATGGGTGCTCAGCTCAGTCCCCAACCCCTCTCCCTCCGGGGGTCGGGGCGGGGCTGAGAGTTCCAAGCTTGGAATCATGCCTTGGTCTTTCTGGCGGCCAGCCCCCCTCCTGCAGCTGTCTAGGTCCCCAGACGCCAGTCAACCCAACGGCACACAGAAGCCCCTCTTGTCACCTCGGAGTCTCCAAGGGCTTGAGGAGCTGTGTGCCGGGAACTGGGACAAAGACCAAAAATGTATTCATCGCAGGCCGAGCCCTGTTCCTCCACCAGCTGCCTCTGGGACATAGAGCCTTGATCCCTGGGTTTCGGGTCAACCGGAAGGGGCACAAGGCAGCGGACGTGTGGAGGGCTGGGTGGAGGCCGGGGACCCGGAAGGGACGTTTCCTTTGCAGTGTCGTCCTCTTCCTCCCACTGTGGAAATGTTACTTCCTCCTTCTCTTCTGAAAACTTGCTTCCCTTTTTTCGTGCTTTTCCCAGCCCTTCTTTGTCCCATAAAAGGCCCCTGAGCATGTGCAGGGTGGTCCCAGGCCGATGGGGGCCCAGGCCCTCCGGTCTCCATGTGGTCCAAGCACACACGTGGCTCCTGCTCAGTTCAGCTCTCCCCAGGGAGCCTTCAGCACTGACATCACATGTGGCCCCAGTGTGCCTCCTTGGGGCCCCTCTGAGCCTCCTCCGTTGGGGGTTCATACCCTGTTCCCCCTGAAGTCCCGCCAGGCCCCGTTGACCCCTGAGTCCCTGAGGGTCTCTGACGCCATGACCTTCCCCACACGCTTCTCAGTCCCTTCGGCCCCTGTGATGTGGTGGCCTTCACCCCAGGAGGCTGGCTCCCTGCAGGGGCCCTGGGTCACCCTGTCACCAGCGGTGCCCTGGGCAGCCTCAAAGTCAGAGGGGACGCCTCCCCTCAGGATGTGGCAGGGAAAGGACATGGGTGTTTTGAAGTCAGCCGGTCCTGGGTTCATATCTCAGCGTGACCTTTTAGTAGCTGTGTGTGACATCAGCCATGTTACGGAACTCGCCTGAGCCTCGTCTGTGGGATGGAGGAGGGGCCGCACAGAGCTGTCTGGGGGCTCCCCCAAGGTTGCAATGACAATAATGCTCCGACCCCGGGCCACCTCCCATCGACAAGCCGGGTGGCTCCTGGGGACCGAGTCCGTCCCTCCCTCTGCATCGTGTCTCCAGAGTGGATCTCCAGGGGCACCAGGGGGCTGGCTCCACACGGCAGGCAGAAATCCCCCGGTGATTTGACATCACAGCTGGTTTGCTGCTAACCCAGGCTCGTGGCTTGGGGCCATCCCCCGGGAGCCATCAGGCAATCATTCATCCTGCCTCGTGTTTCTTTCCTTGGGCGAAAAGTGGCCCACGGAACAATTCACTTGCGCCCGCGTGTTTCAAAGGACAGCAAATGGATGCTCTCTGGAGCTCGCTTGATAAGGAGAGAGGGAGGGAGGAGGGAAAAGCTGAGGCCTCGAGTTGGGCAGAGCTGGCTTGGAATGCTGGCTCCCCCACCTGCTGGCTGTGTGATTTAATGTGGGGAACGGATATCACCTCCCGGACCTCAGCGTCCGTGTCTGTAAAATGGTAATAACTCCCCCCTCTCTCCTACGGCCGTTTAATAGTCAGATAATGGACGTGTAACACCTGGCACAAGGGAGGAGGTCAGCAAGCTGTAGCTGTCTCCTCTGCAGAGTGTTTTTGCTGTTGGTTGTCTTCATTGGCATTTAAGCTGGCCCCTTAATGGGTGGGGGTCAACAGGCCCCGTAGCTGGGTGAAGACCCTGGGCCTCTGTGAGATGAAGCTCCTTTCCTAAGGGCCCACGACGAAACTTCTGTGCTCATGAATGAACCAGGATCCAGTTCTGGACTCTCAGTCCAGTGCTCTCCCCACAACTTAGCAGAAGGTCCTGGAGGCCAAGGACAGTGCAGGGTAGTGGTCAGAGCAGCCAGGACGGACTCAGACCTGGGCTTAAATTGAAGTGAGGGTCCCAACACTCGCTAGCTCTGTGGCTGGTCTGGTTACCGGGCTGTGTAGCAATTCAGCCCCAAACTCCGCAGCTTAAACAACAATCATTTTATTCTCTCCGGCGGCTTCTGTGGGTCTGTCGTGTGGAAGGGCTCAGCTGGGCGGTTCTGGCTGAGGTGGCTCGTGTGGTTGCTGTCAGATGGTAGCTGGTGCTGGCACTGGCCGGGCGTCTCCCTGTCCTCGTGTGGTCTCGGGTTTCTCTGCATGGGCTTCTCCAGGCTTCCTCGTGGCCGTGGCAGCTTCTGGGTTCCAAACACAGGTTTCCAGAGAGCAACCTGGAAGCTGCGTCATCGTTTCTGAGCTGGCCTCGTTGTCACGCAGCCATGTTCTGTTGGTTATAAGAGTGTCACACCTTCGAGGGCCAGAGAATCTAGACTCCACCCCTGGGTGGGGGAGCAACAAGGTTCTAGAACACGTAGGACGGGGGCTATTGGTGTGGCCACATTTTGCCGTCGTGGCCTCGAGCAGGTAACTTAAGCTTTCGGAGGCTCAGTTTTCTGGCCTGTAAAATGGGATTGAAAAGAGTAGTGGCTTCCCAGGCCTGCTCTGCAGGGGAACAGAGGTGCTGTCTGTCAAGGGCGCAGCACAGCGCCGGGCACATGGCAAGTTCTGGCTGTTGTCGTTATGATGCTGCAAGGCTTGTGGAGTCCCACAGATGATGCCTCCAAGTCCCCTGCTGAGGTGGCCAGAGGAAGCTCCCAGGACGTCAGCTCTCTGCTTTCATGACCGGTGCCCCCCCACTATCCTCTGATGCCCCCTAAGAACCCTGTCCCCAGAGAAGAGTAAATCAAGGGTGAACCCAGTGCCCTCTTTGCAGCAAGAAACCATTTCTCTGTCTCAGGGCCTCTTGGCTGTACGTGATTAAAATTAGACCCAACGCGCTTTCTAAGAATGAGCTCTGTGAACAAAATCCTCTTGGAGTCTCCTTGCTCTGCCCCTCGGCCCAGGGCTGGGGGACACTCCACCTGTTCTCTCTTTTAATTCTCGCCTGATGGGCAGGGCAGGAATCCCACTTTGCGGTTCAGGATGCTGAGGCTCAGAGAGGTTATGTAACATTGCCAAGGTCAAACAGCATCCTGCGGTGGAGCCGAGGTTGGAATCAGTGTCTGTCCACCTCCACAGCTGCTGCCCTTCTCCTCCACGAGGCCGCCCGCCTGGCCAGGTCCTTGGGTGCGTCTGGCTGCCCGGACCTCAGCTCTCTCCTAAGAGTCCTTCTCAGCTCCGTCTAGTCTCCATCCGCCCCTCCAGCCTCCACTCTCCGTTCCTCCACCTGGAAGGTCATCCTCTAAGCAGGCTGGAGGCAGGAGAGCTCCGAATTGAGGCTAACGGCCTGGCCTCTGGGACCAGGCCGATGTGGGTTCAGTCCTGGTTCCCCTCATGATCGTGGTGATGCCCAGACCTCTGAGACGCAGCGTCCCCCTCTGTAAACTGGGGACAACAACAGTGCCTACCTGCTAGGGTAGGCTTACATTATTTATGTAAAGCGTTGTCGTTGCTATTATTG